CGGTTGGTGGGGGAGGGGGCCGTCTGTTAATTCTTTCTTTACTTCCCCATCTCGTTCTGTCGTTATTTCTCATTCCCTCGTTCTTTCCCTCCCCATCTCAGTCCCTCATTCTCTTGTTCTTTCTCACCTGTCTCGTTTTCGCATTCTTCCTCTCCCCGTCTCGTTCTCTCATTCCCTCGTTCTTTCCCTCCCAGTGTTGTTCCCTTGTTCTTTCAATCTTTCCTTCTTTCCCTCCTCCACTCTCTCATTCACTCACTCTCTCTCTCCCAGCTGCGCTCGCCGGGGGCTCAGGTCCTGCAGCAGCAGCTCCTGGGGGTCACTGCCGTGGGGAGCCTAGACATCTCCGACAACGGTGAGTCTGTCCGCCTGCCCTCGAGTCCCTGTATCCCTGCCCTGGGGGAGGGGACAGTATCTCAGCTCCCCTGACGTTCCTCTTCTCCCACCGCTCGCTACAGGTTTCGACTCCGATTTGCTGACGCTGGTCCCTGCTCTGGGCAAGAACAAATCCCTCAAACACCTCTGGCTGGGCAAGAACTTCAGCGTCAAGTCCCGGTGGGTGAACACTTCTGTCGTCCACCTTCTGTCCCGTCTCATTTGCCCCCTCCTCCCCGGGAGAGAGAGGTCCTTGAGGAGCCTCTTCTAAACCTATTTTCCTCCGAGCTCACCTTCTCTAGTGAGGAGGTTGTGCTCCATGGGACCCAGTCTAGACTCATTGGATGGATGCTGGGTTCCATGGGACCCTTTCTAGACCCAGTGGATGGGCAATGGACCCATGGGACCCATTCTACACCCTTTAGATGGGCATTGGGCTCCATGGGACCCATTCTAGACTCATTGGATGGGTGCTGGGCTCCATTAGAACCTTCTAGACCCACTGGATGAGCATCGGTGCCCAATGGGAACCATTCTAGAGCAATTAGACTATGCTGCAAACATCTGAAAGAAATGGAGAATAGTGGAAGTAGAAAAGCTATCTAGAACCTCCCCAGCTGGGTGACCTAGAAAGCTGGCCAAGAGGTTTTGCATCTCTGATTAGGTTGACGTTATGAAGTCCAGTTATACAGAAACCCACCAAGCCTAGAGCATGGAAGGAAGTGATACAGCATGGATGACCTAGAAGACTAGCCAAGCAATGTTATGAGTCTACTGAGTTTGAATCTATAGAACCCAATTATCCAGAACATGCCCAGTCTAGAACATGGGGAAAGGGTCTAGAACAGGTCACCTAGAACACTAGCCAAGCAATGTTGCAACTCTGCTGAGGTGGATGCTGTAGAGTCCAGCAATCCAGAACCAACCCAACTTAGAACATGAAGGGAAGGGCTCTAGAATAAGTGTCCTAGAAAAATTAGCATGTTCCTGTTTAGCTTACAGCCAAGTCAGTGGTTGGGCTGGTGAATTTACCTCCCAGCCTCGTCTCACCCCTCTGGGTGCTTATGCCCGGCCTCTGTGTTCTCTCTCTCCAGGACGCTGGAGGAGATACTTCACAAGATCGTACAGCTGATTCAGGAGGAAGATTGTGTGAGTCTGTCCCTCATGAAAAGTGAAATTTGCTCTAAGGCAGGGGGCTATGGATCGGGATTCAGGGGAACCAGCAGAGTTGTGGGGGGCAGGGGATACCAGGGCTGACTCCCTTCTCTCCCCCAAGTCCCTGCAGTCTCTCTCCGTGGCCGACTCACGGCTGAAGTCCCGGACCAGCATCCTCATCAATGCCCTTGGCAGTAATACCTGCTTGAGCAAGGTGGATCTGAGCGGGAACGGCATGGAGGACCTGGGGGCCAAGATGCTGTCCAAGGCCTTGCAGATCAACAGCACCCTCCGGTGGGGGCTCCTGGAAGGAAGGGGACACTGGGGTGCAGCAGGAGGTCCCATCAGGGGGCTGGGTGGGGGAGGGGGTCTCATGGGGGGGATTGGGGTTGGGGGAGGAAGTAAGGTCCGAGCAGAGGAAGTGGGTGCAGATTGAGGGGGTAGGGTAGCGGGGCCCTCAATGGCAGGAGAGTGGGGGGGATTGAGGCTGGCGTGAGGGGGTCTCACTGGGTGGGCCAGGGGAGGGAGTCCCATTGGGAGATTTGCAGGGGGGTTGGGACTTGTGGGGTCCTGTCAGGGGAAGTGGGGGGATTTGGGGGTTGGGAGAGGGGCTGCCACTGGGCAGGAGCAGGGATTGGGGTGGGGAGGGGAGAACTGAGGGGAAGGATCCCATGGGACTAGGAAGCACAGGAGGGGATATGGAAGGGGGGCCCTGTTGGAGGGAGGAGGGGAGGAGAGAGCCATTGGTGGGGACAGCAGAAGAGGGGTCCCTATTGGAGAATGTGGGGAAGGGGGTTCCACTGGAGCGGAGGAGGGTGGACAGTTTGTATTAGCCAAGGCAGGGAACAGGGTCTCATCTGGTGTGTCATCACAGTGGGGGGCAAGAAGGACCCCAATGTTGGGTGACCCTGCCTGGATCTCCCCTTTGCAGGAGCATCGCCTGGGACCGGAACAACACGACGGCACTTGGCTTCCATGATGTCGCCCGAGCCCTGGAGAAGTGAGTCTAGAGGGGGACTTCCTGGTTGAGAGTCAGCCCCTGACATCCCAGGGGTGCCCCCCAACCTGCACCTCATCCTCAGTCTGCATGCTTAGTGTTAGCATTGATAACAGGTGTCATTTCTCATGTGTTTAATGCCTGCTTGCTGCTTAATTGTTTGTAATTCATTTTTACTGGGGACGTGTGTGGACTGGCAGAGTTGTCTGGATGGTTTTGAGTTGAGTTGGGGGGTGGATTGGTTGTGTTGAGTTGAGGCAGTTAGGTTGTTGAGTAGGTGATTGGGTTGTTGGAGTGGATTACTGGTGCATTTGTTGGGTTGGTTGGTATTATTGGGTGGGTGGGTGGGTTACTGAATGGGCCTGGGTTGGGTTGGATTATTGGTTTGGTTCAGTTGGCTTGGGTTATTGGTTGAATAGAGTCGGGTTAGCTTGAGTTGGATTGGATTATTACTTGCATAGAGTTGGGTTAGGTTGGGCTGAGTTGGTTTGGGTTCTTGGTTGGGTTACGTTGGTTGAGTTGGATTGAATTAGTGGTTAAGTATGTTGGGTTGGATTGAGTTCTTGGTTGGGTGGAGTTG